AGCTGGTTAACGGAATCACTTATGCAAAATTTTCATGACCGATTTTCATACGGTACGCATTAGATATTGCAAAGTAACCCTTCAACTTATGTTATGTTAAAAGTACTGCGAAATATTATAAGGATTATACGTTTTAGAAAAGTATATGAGAAAATGTGGTTATTGGCTGAGTAAAGTCATTTAGACACAAAAAATAGCACTGTATCATTAACTGTATATACATATGTGAAATATCAAAAAGTTTGGTTGCCAATATAATTGTTTCTAGAAATACCTATATTAACATAACTTATTGAAGACTATACAGAAATGAAAATCAGTATATTAGTTAAACGTTCGCTGCGTAAGTAGTAGAGTCGAGTTATATGTAACTGACTGGACCGGCTTTTACTTACCATTTTACCAACAGTTGTGGTCCTTTAGACAAGCTAGGGTGGACATGTTAATGTGTCTCTCTAGGCTCCATTTGAACCCATTGGGGTTTTCACAACATCTAATTTCAGATGGTAGTTGGTTCCAAAGAGTGCAATATTTAATGGTGAAAAAGTTTGCCCTAATGGATTTTCTGTGGGTTGCCACCTTGACAAGGTAGTCATGGTTTCGCAGCTCATATAATTTAATATTTTCCCATGTTATGGATGAGTTACTATAACAGTGTTTTCTTATGACTTTGAATAGTAGAAATAAGTTGCACTTCACTCTCCTTAGCCACAGAGGTTCTGATTTCGACGTATACACCTGTCAACATATTCCACTTGTTGGTCAGACCCTATTATGCGTTTCGTGAGGAATCTCTGGACACTTTCGATTTTCTTTCAGTCCTCAGACCTTAGGTTACTAAATAGGAGAGCACAATATTCAAGTTTGGGGCGGATACATGTCCTACAGATAGTTAATCTTGCTTCTTGGGTGCAAACGTTACACATTACAAAGCCAGTAATTCGCTTACAGTCAGATACAACCTTATTTGCATGATCGGTAAAGGTTAAATCCGAGTATGTTATCCCGAGATCTGTGACTGTGTTCGGTTTTGAAAGGAGCTTACCGTACATATATAGGCACATTCTAGGTTTCCAGCATCCAAGGTGAGCTAAACCGCAGTTGTCTGGGTTGAAAGTCAGTTGCCACTTTTCGCTCAAATCGCCTAGATTGTTGGATCTTGCTTTCGACACTCATATCATCATACCCATAATCATACACTATCTTGAGATCATCTGCAAAGAGGTATGGTTTTCCATACTTTATCACAGAAACTATGTCATTTATGAATAAGAGGAATAGAATAGGGCCAAGAAAGCCACCTTGTGTTACGCCACTAGTTATCGGCTTTGATGAAGACAGCTAGTAGTTGATTTTGACTGATTTCTGTCTTTCTGTGAGAAAAGAATTTATCCATTTGAGAAGGTTCCTGGTTATTCCGTAGGATTGGAGTTTTGTTAGGAGTTTGATATGTGGGACTTTATCGAAGGCCTTGCTAACGTCAAGACATAATGTTGTTACCGAACGCCTATCATCAATGCATTGTGTAATGTAGTCAAAATAATCTAAGTGGCAGTTAATGCACGTCCTTCTACTTAAGAAACCGTATTGGGATGGGGATAGTAGGTCATTTGACAGCAAGTACTGAATGATTTGAGTCTGTACTATCTTTTCCATTACACGGGAAACTACAGACGTGATGTTGATGGGACGGCAGTTGTTGATATCAGCTATAGGCCCGTAATTATGGATAGGTACAATATAAGACTTCTTCCAGCAGGTAGGGTATGTCCCATCGCTTAGTGGAATTGAGTATAACTTGAGTAGGAATAAATTCATGTCATTACCATTGTTTTTCAGCAGAATGGAAGATATACCGTCTGGACCAATAGTGATACTAAGCTTAAGATTCGCGACAGCTTTATCGATCTCTTGTCTGGTGAAAAGCATGTCACTTAAACATTCATCTGTTTTACGTGGGAAATCCACGAACTCATCATTCTCTAAGGTGTATAATCTGGCGAAGTGCTTGCTAGACATATCACATATCACCTCAGTACTTTCGTAAGCAATCCCGTCTAAGTATAATATTTTAGGATAAGCTGTTTCGGAGGTCGTCAACCTACTTTCGAAAAATTTGGCTATTTGTCTTCGGTTGTGCGGTGCCTGAATGGCCGGCATTTCTTTGTTTCTGAGGCCTATATTTCTCACTTCTTCAATTCTATTGAGAAGGGACGTAATAGCAATTAATGATGATAAGTCATGATATGTGTAGTATTTTATTGAGTGGTTTCGTAGACTTCTCCTCAACGATGTCGGAATAAAATCGGTTTGGGGGAATCTGAAGCTAAGAATCTTCTCAGGTGCAATGAATCGAGTTAATACTGTGATAAAAATAGCTAAGAATTGCCTCTGGGGACTCGTTCGAAAAGTACGAGTCCCCAGAGGCAATTCTTGGGTTCTGACATAAGCCACAGTCAGCACGTGTGTACAATCTCACAAGTGTCTGGTCAGCTTCATCTCTGGGTTTTGTTACAGGAAAGATGTTAAAAGAACACACTACTATTTTATGGAAATTCATGCCCCACATGTACTATAGATGGTGTTATGCTGTTCGTGAAAATAAAGTCAAGGATGTTTGCGGATTTAGGATAATAGATAAACGTGGTTTCAGTGAGCGGACAACATCTTGATAAAATAATCTGTGAGTATCCTCTATATACATGTTATTAGGCTCATTTGCCAATATCTTTGGATCGATTATCTAAAAGTTTGAAGACCCTCGACTGCTACCTAGTAGTTAACACCTGAAAACTCGTTTTTCTGTCAAATGTACTTTCATCTAAAACCGGTTGTGAACAACGGCATCAGAAGAATTTGCTGTAGCCAGAAGACATCTCTCAGAAACTCAGAATACTATTTAACATATATAATAACTAATTCAGTTTCACCGCAAACCGCATTAAAAAGATGAACGGTAAGCCAAAGACTGCTTGATCAACCGAGTATAAACCAAGGTAGCAGGTTAACTACACAGCAGTTTGACCAGGTGGTTCATAGTTGGTTACTATCAGCACACCAAAAATTTCGGACCGTACTGCTCCGGTTTCCAGTCAACGAGCGAACATCTAAGGCACTACGGGGATCGTTGCCTCCAGCAAACAAGCAACTGGTTCGAATAAACAAGTCCGTTGAAAGCTTGCCATTTTGGATTCTCCTTGAGCTTTCAGAACGTCTATGCTTATCTGAACAATCTTCTTGCGTCGATGGAAATATCCGGAAACCTTAAACCTAATTTTATGACAATGACCGAAATACGGCTATTAGTGGGTGTGGACTTCATCTCATTCATATTGGGATGCATCCACTTCAGAGCATTCGTGGTCGTTAATCTCAAACAGAGCACGGGCGATCTCTACTTTCGTGGAGACTGAAACTATGCCAACAGTGTTAGATGCACATGACTTTGGCTTTAGTGAAGCTCCAATTTGTTTTTTGACCCGAACAAGTGTATTGCAGAGATCACGGCAATATACGGAAGTTCCCTCTGCCAAATTGGTAACTTCCCTAAGGCCACCTGCGAACATGTAGTTTAAGAAAAAGGGGTCTGACTGTCTGTGACTTGAACGCTCGAAACGTCAGTTGAGGGATTACCATTGACTATATTGTACAACTGTTTCAACAGGGAGTCTGATATGACTGTCGTTAAGTGTGTACCCATAGAGTATGTGCTCATTCCCAGTATGGTCCTTCTCTTCTAGAGATACCCAAAGTGGGATGTGAGTGATACCACGCATCTCTAACCATCAGATAGCAGCGATCACGTAGTCGTCACTTTCCATACCTATTATTTCAAACTATTGGTGAGTAAATACACCGGCAACCAGGAGCGCAAGATTCCTAAATGACTGATTAGTTAAGAATGAAAGAACTGTCTAACAAGCTACGGGAAAATTTGGGAAAACACCGGAATTCATCACGTCACATCACCTCTTACGCCCTGTTCTAATCATCAGGTGACACAGTACAAATAGTTAAATAAAAAGGCTGCTAAGGAAGCGAAGGAGTTGATGCAGGCTGGAAGAAGTTTGAGGTAGATCACTTAGAAATTTGCACTTATTTCAGGCAGCTACATGACAAAATTCATGCAGCATTTGACAGATGTTCCGTGGTAGACAACCTATATCCTCCTGAAAAGCCATAACAATATATATGAAGCAGAATTCAAATAAATAACGGCACTTGCAAGTAATGTCACGTGAAGTAAAGGTGGAAAACTTCACCACGCACTGTCTCATGCCAAAAAGTCAAACAGTGGCACCGGAAGTCAAGCGATTATAAGGGGAACAGGTGATCGGCACCAGATTACCTGCATTATACATTATTCAGGACCTGAAATAAAAGTCATCAGGTATTAAGTACTACCTAGTGTTTTGCTGTCTTCCTGCGAAGCAACAGCAAGAATCTGGACTAGGACGATTCTATCCAAAAACTCACTGGTAGCTAAAGTGTGTAGATTTTACCACCCCTAGTAAAGTATTCGATAAGTATCCCACTATAGCCTTCACGGTAAACTAAATGAGTTGGGATTAAGCAACCATTCGTTTCCTTCATGTAGGATACCTTTCAGGGGTAATGTTAGGTAGGAGCTCAGACGACGAGCAAACAGGATGCAAGTCGAAATCAGATGCTCGCAGAGGGTGGTCAACAATTGAGACTCCATACATGACTATGTGGTATATGTCCGTCTTTGAACGCTTTCAAAGAAACCATGGGTCTCCACGTATATATATATAGCAAGGAACAATGAGGCCTATGGGAGTTTCCACTGTTTTGCCACTGAAACTAAGCGTCAAATCTCGGATACTAGTCAAATCTTGCCAAGTCATCTTCTGATGACAAACCAAACGGAGGCTGGTTTTCAGTAACACTGGATATTCAAAGAGATAATCCGAAACATTAGCTCGGCATCTTTATCTTCATAGAACTGGAGCTGAGATATCACATTGGGGACTGGACATATAACATTTGTTTTAGTTAGTGGGTACAGTTGGCGGTGTGACGAAAGATACAGTGCTCCTCGTGGTTTTCTGGCCCTTAAAAAATGGTGCACGGAAATGATGTTCTGCATAAAAATCACTTCAGAAAGAAATGGCAGTTTATGGTAAAAACCTGGTTCAACCAGCCAGCCCGTAAAGAACGTAGACGTCAGGCCAGGAAGGCAAAAGCTCAACGCATTGCTCCTAGACCAGCCTCAGGACCACTTCGTCCAATTGTGAATTGTCCAACTTTCCGATACAATATGAAAGTGAGGGCTGGTCGTGGTTTTACACTTCAAGAGATACGTGCTGCAGGTTTAAGTCCAAAGTTCGCCCAAACAATTGGCATTTCCGTAGACCACAGAAGACGAAATGTTTCTGTCGAAGGGTTACAACGGAATGTCGCTAGACTTAAGGCCTACAAAGCCAGACTTATACTCTTCCCGTTGAATCCAGCCAAGCCTCAAGCTATGGAAGCAAAGGTTAGTCTTGTTTTTTGTGTTATTCTGGGCACGTTATGAGTTGTCATTGTTGTGTATACAGGACACACTAATGTGGTTGCTTGTTTCAGGGCACTTACGAGTCTGGGAGATAACGACTAAAATGTTTGGGATAAGTTGGCATCTAGCTTGAGGTATGCTGTAACGGTTAAAGTCCTTGTGCTTCGAACCGCTTACGCTTCGTTTGCTATTGACAGTCGAAGAGCTTAAGCCATACTCTTAGGTATTAATGCCTCACTGCCTGCTTACTTGTCAATATCATGCTGGGAAAACTTGTCATTTATATTGGGTACTGTAGTTGTTTGGTGTATGTATTTTGCTCGACATATGAGACGTGGTACAACTGCTTGATCACGAAATTTTGGGTACTGGAAGTGACGAAATAAAGTCACTACCTACGCTAAGAGTGCGTATCCATGTAATGTTACTTAATTAGCACATTGTTTTCCATAAGAAATTTCATATGTCTACCTACTGACTTGTCGAACATTTCTTTAAGTCCCATTGTCTAAAGTAACGTGATGAGCAGACAGTTGACATGTTTGACTTTCAGCAAACATTTGTAGACCTGATGACTGCAACCAGCTAGAGTTGACTAGTCTCTGATGTTTGTATTGTGCATTTGCTTAGGTAAAAGATAACAAAAGTATAGGGTGAATTGAAGGTGTGACGCTTTAGAGCGTTGTAATATGAGTAAATTCGTCTTGTGACACACTGCCTCGGTAACTTAGTGACAGTTTTCGCTCTGTTCATATTTTTGGAAGACTTTGTCAGCTGTAGCATCTGGTTTTTAGATCCAAATCTCGCTGCTTCCCAAGCAGCCACATAAGTTTAGCATTAAAAAGTTATCAACACATGAGAATTTTTAAGGGTAGTGTACTACTTATTATATGTATCTGCAGTTACAAACTATCGTTAGACTTGTGAAAGTATTCAACCTAGGGCTCATTTCCTCTGCAAACAATACAGAGATAATTGCGAAGAGGCACTCTGACACTGATTAGGCTATATGCATTATTAATATTGCTTTCATGTGCAAAACAGCAGATAACTGTACTCGTTATAGATGTGTGCAGCCGTTCTTATCTTTTAGACATCAACATTCGTAATAGTTAATTTCCATCGCAAAACAGTATTTGAGAAACTGATGGTTATAGAATCTTTTTGAGATATATTATGGAAAAATACCGAGTACATTATTCGTTGTCCTATTTTTTCATCCTAGGCTGATGATGTCAAGAAGGCCACCCAACTTCGACGCCCTATATTCCCGATCACTCAAAGAGCTAAACACTTGAAGGCTCATGAACCAACTCCATCTGAACTTAAATACCGGGCTTTCCATGCCATACGTCAACACAGAGCTAATGCTCGTCTATACGGAAAACGCTTGAAGGCTCGTCAATCTGCTACTGCAGAATAATCATTTGCAAATAGATTTTTCTTTGGGTCAATCTTTGTTTTATTTTTCTGGTTTCTTGGTGATGATGAGTGCTTCATATTATGTTTTGACAAGATGCTATGTTGCAAGTGTTTTGATGAACACTTCCGCATAATGCATGATGTCCAATGACAGACCGAACAAATGAAATACGAATAGTAACTTCATGTGACCAAGTAAACGAGAATGGTTAGAGTTCATGTTAATGTTATCCAAAGGACAATTGTTTTCGCTCAAATGTCATCCATAAACGTATCCCATATTAGGATTATGTAACAGCATTCTTTTAGGCCTCGTAAGCTTGACATAAAAAAAGAGGTCTCCGACGGACTTTTCTTCCTGTATGATAAATTAACGTTTTCGTGCCTACGACTAGTGTAGTACAACATTAGTATTCATCAGGCCTGATGTTTATGTGAGATAGCCAGACGCAAATGGCAATGCATCGTAGATAAGGGTTTCTTGTACAAGACGGTTACACTACGTTTTACTGTATAGACACCACTTGTGGTTTATGCCGACCACATCTGAATATTTCAGGTCTCCGAATAACATCGTATAATTTTCATGTGTACTACACTAGTCACCAATTGGATTATAAGGGTGTGACAAGGTCTTCTTCCCAGCGCTTAGACATCTCACAAGTCACTAATTATAGCAGGTACGGAAACTAGTTCTGTGACCGTAAAATTAGTAGTTCTTACAAAAATACGGTATTATCATTATTAACTGCCTGAATGTAACAATGTGGATCGTTGGATTTTGCTGCACCTGCCTAAGTTTGAGTAGTATCATCAGCCCCCACAATGAATAAATGCGGGTCATAGTCCGGTAATGGGTAACTAAGTCCTAAGCTATGTAGTTGAATATAATGTTTCCTCATGACTAAACATTTCCTGTAATTATGTATTTCTCATTCATTCTAATAGTTTAGGAGGTTTATTTACGTGACTTGAAAGTGTACCTAGGATTGTAGTTGAGTTCTTTTGAAATTCTGTTCTATTCATCGGTTTCGTACGTGTTAATGTCTAGTACATAAATCAGAATAATCTTAGAGAAGGTTGGTCACCCATCAGCAACGCCAATGTCGATTTTAGTAGTATTCGATCTCACTTACAAATACAACTGAACACATTTTCTTGTTTCTACTCCTAGGAATTACTAAGCATACGTATGGTTGAGTACGCTTTTTTACCATGAAAAGAGATGTTTCCATCACCAACCGAACAACAAGGAATTAAAGTACATACTTTCCCGTGTTCTACTGCGTATTTGAGAAGTTTATTTTATAAGTAATCTAGTTTACAGAGAAGACAAGCGTATAAAAGTATAATTTAGGCGATGTTGTAGTGTATAATTCCATAATAGAATAACTTTATCTGGCAGAGCGTTATGATGCAGTATTATTCATTTACTAATTATGTTTCGAAAGCAATTCACTTTTCATAGTCATATGATATCCACGGAGAAAACTTCATTATTTCTCACCTTAAACCAAGTTGGGATTAGGACGAAGTTTAATGGGTCGTAGTAATGTTCGAATTCACTAAGAGCGTATGTTGACAGTGCCATAGCATGCTGTTCTGGACAGAATTGTAATTGAAACTAATCACTAAGCTTTTATTTCATACATAACTCTGCGTGTAAAACTTGAATCACTGTGGGTTGCTTCTAAGGAAAAACCATAAGGACTTCGTAGGCTCCCCAAGTAAGAAGCAGGTTATGCAAAAAGGAGAGATTTAGAGTGGCATAGTGGTTAGGACGCTCGCCGACCATGCACATGGGCCGGGGTTCGATTCCCGGTCGACGCACTCCGTTACCTTGCTAAGCCAGAAATAATGCTGGTGAAGAGGAAAGGTTGGGCATGAGGCTAGCAACCCCATCCTGTGAAATAAACACTGCTACGGAAACTTCAAACCACTAGCTTGAAGCCCTATCTTCCACTGGGGAACGTGAAGGGAAAAAAACCACACATAATTGGTACACGCCTCCCACATCCTGGAAATTTTGCACCATTTCCCCGTGACTGGTAAGTTCCTTTGTATTGGTCAAATGGAGTCACCACAAAAGTTTACTTTTCTCCACTTATGTATAGCCAAAGCTCTAGTTGTACAATGATGAAAACCTAAATTATGCATTCGAAAACGTTTTGTTTAACGCCTTTATTTATCTTGGTCGTAGTAATATGTTGCTATGTTTTATCCTATTTTACCACGTGAATTCATCACACTTCACTCCTCTTCGCATTCTTTATTGCTATCAACATTTCACGTGTGATTTTTTGAGAACTCTTTCAACCTACTTTTAAAATCTCAATACCAGATCCCTTATTTAATATTCCCTTAAAATCTTACAATCCGTTCACTTCAACTTTACTATCCTAAAAATCATGTTAACTGTCTTTATTCTTATGATATAAATACACTGACTGAACAATTATTAGTGCCTGTTCCCGTAATATAAACTACACGACTGAACAGCCTGAAAATCTAATCGTTGATTGCGTCTTATAACTAAAAGAATATTATTATTTCCTTTAATTCCTCGAGGAACATAGGGCTTCAGCCGCGCGTCTCCATTACGTTCGGTTCTCTGCTAGAGTTTTCACCTGGCTCCAAGTCTGCCCACATGCTTTCATCTCTTCACATCACCTCCTCCAAGTCACTCTTGGACGACCAACTCGCCGCTTCCCTTTCGGGTTCCACTCGAGGGCTAGTCTAGTGATGTCACTTGATGGTTTCCTTAGAGTATGGCCAATCCACCTCCATTTCTTCCTTCCTATTTGTTTCACAATCGGTTCCTGGTTGTTTTTCTCCCACAGGTCCCTATTGCCATCTGATCTTGAGTATTGAGCGAAGACAGCTGTTAATGAAGGTCTGTAGTTTGTTTGAGGTGCTCTAACTAAAAGATATTAGATTGGTTTTTACAGTGCAAACGAGTAGCCAGTAAGATGTTGCTACTGAATCTAGATGATTTATTCGCTAGCCGGTAATTTATCAGAAGTGTTTTTTAACGTTGCCTATGGATGAATTTATTGTCCCCTAACAGCTGTTTGCAATCCATTCCTGTCTCATGAAGTTTGTAATGACTTTTCATATTAGTAAGTATTCGTAGGACACCAGACACTTATCGAGTTGAGTGGCATGTCAGTTCTGATAAGTAGAAGTAGGAATTCTGCCGCTAAAATGTCTTAAAAGCTTGGTTTTATAAATTCATTTAGCTAAGGGACTTCATTCAGCCAGTAAATTTCAACAATTAAGGTAAACTACTTTGTAGGTTTAAGTAGGTTATTATTTCTCAAAAATATTCTGTAACCATTCGTGATAGGAAAGTTTTTCTTTGAAAATGTAAGGTACTTAGTATAAATTTTCTTTCCACTGGTCTTTATTTCCTCAGAATTTTAACATTTATTAGCGTCACCGTGTAGGTGTGTCTAAATGTTGCGAATTTACTTTCCGAGGACATGGGTGTATTAACTGCAAATAACTCAAATAGGATTAGTCGAATTTTATCAACGTGTTGTTGAGTGCTTCCATAACCGAAGTATTTTATCACTAAAGGTTAATGGCTATGGATATATGGTGACTAACAATTAGCCAAATTCATTTTGAACATTAAACAAGACATCACTCTAGTTGCTTTTGTCTCTTATCTTACGATGTGATCTCCTGATTATTCTTTTGAGTTCTGAAGTGTTGGAAAATGTGTAAACAACCCAAACGAGTTCCTTTATGACGAGAAAAAAACGTTCTAAGCCCCATCAGATTGCGTAATCCATAGTGTTGTAAGCAAATGACAAAATCACCTCAATTCCTCTATCTTCGTATAAAGGGTAGTTAATACAATTGCTATCCTGCTGCCTAAATTTGTACTGTTCGAATATCACCTGCAAACGAATGATCATTTACCAACGGTTAAATTCAATCAGTGATTTGATAAAACATTAACACCAAAATTAAAAAAGACTGACTAGTCCCTAATGCTAAATATCACGTAGCATAATTTCATCCTGCCTGGGTGCATTTTACAATTGGTCAGGGAACTCTGACTAGAGCTTAGGACCTGATAGATAAAGCTGACACCAAGCATTAACGTGTTTGTGTGTCTGCATAATCCAGTCTTCCAGAGACTCAGTTGTGTTTTTTACACCATAACCAAGTTATGAATGAAAACTTTAGGTTTATTAGGGTATATAAGTCACCTTAATATTTCTAAAAAGAGCATAAACTGTGAGTTAGGCACAGGTTGTCGGTAATTCAATTCAAAATTCGGGAATTAAATCTACGTTTATTTGTAATCTCTCTTTCCCTCTAAGCGTTTATGTGAGTTAATTATTTTACCTTAGATTTCCGAAAACATTTCTCTCTACTTAATAATTCAAAACAATTTATAAGTGTAAAATAAGCAGGATTTAATAAAATTCATTTACTTCTCACAGCTTCCATATTTCAGGGTACGTATTCGGTAAGGAAATACAAACTCTGGTGTACACTGTTAAGTCATAAGGTTTGCTTTAGGAATAAGAGATTATATATATATATAACCGTTGCGTGGATACTGAAAGGCTTTGGAGAATTGATGGATTTCAGTGAAGTTTCCTTCATGAACAGATGTCAACCAGTGGAGTGTTAGAAACCAGGGGACACTAACACCGTTTCGTTCAAATTTTTTACTCTGTGGGATTACGCAGTCATTGTGTCATGAGGGGTGCTACTGAGAAGCATCAGTTATGGTCAATCAACAAAGATATATTTCAAATCAAAATTAGTTGGACATTATGATTCGTTGATTCCCAATCCAATAGTTAAATGAAAATATTCTGTATTGTCACATTATTTCAGTAGTGCACCAATCACCATCAAAGGGAGAGATTTAAAAGTGGTTACTTCACTTATCTAGGAAGCATCGTTTCAACTACAGGCGAAACGGATGAAGATGTCAGAGCCAAAATCGGAAAGGTAGTATACGCTTTCGTCAACTTGAAACCAGTTTGGGAATCTTCTGCCCTCAGCA